TGGCTCAGTGGAATAAGTGCTTCCCTGGCAAGTGCAAGGGCCTGAGTTCAATCCCTGGTTCTGAAAAAAAAAAAAAAAAAAAAAAAAAAAAAAACCTGTCTCAGAAAAAAAGACTCAAGAGAAATGTTACCTCTATTATTATTTTTTTTTTTGCCAACTTTCTGTGAATGCATATTTCAGTGTTAGGTATCTAGAAACACTTGTAATAGGTGTCATTTTATGATTCTGATTGCTAAACTATAGTTTTAAAACTAAAATGTCAAACAAGTCCTATAGAGAAGTATCATATTCTACATTTAAACGGCATCTTTATCAGATATAAAATGAACCTTATGATTCTCCCATTTGTAATAATTACTAAATAAGACCTCTATAATTGCAAATAATATCAGTAAATAGCTTATTCAATCAGCATAGTTTGATTCATAAAGGATCTTTTCTCTTAGCAAAAACAAGTTCCCATTCATTACCTAATGTCACCCCTTTCTTCAGGATAATGAGATTTGACCAGGATGGGTGCAGGCAGCATGGGGTTTGGCAATAACTGCGCATTACCATCAGTGAATTCTTCCAAAGCACTGCCTGGGATTTCCACAAGAGTGAGAATGAATGTTTGCTCGTCCTCTCCATCCTGATGCACATTTGCAAACAGATCCACTGCAAATTTGAAATTTAGTAATGAAATACTCAATTGTAAAACAAAATCATTATTTCATTTCTAAAAGTAAAGTCTTGGGTTGGGGAGATAGTTCATTGATCTAAGCACCTGACTGACAAGTGCAAGGATCCGGGTCCCATTCCTGGTACCACAGCGTGGTGGTGCACACCTGTTAATCACAGCGCTGGGGAGGCTGAGACAGGAGGATCACTACAAGTCCCAACTGCATAACAAGACTCTGTACCACATACATACATACACACACACACACACACACACACACACACACACATTTTTAAAAAATTATTCTTTAAAAATGAAGTCTCGGGGGCCGGGGAGATGGCTTAGTAGAATAAGTGCTTCCCTGGCAATTTAGACTGGGTGTGGTGGGCCCATGCCTATAATCCCAGCTCTTTGTGGAGGCTGTAAACAGGTGGATTACTACAAATCCAATCTGGTAGTGAGACCCTGAACACCCTGCAGACCCTTCCCTAAAGTACAAAAAAATAAAAAAATAGTCTCTCTGACACTTTATCATAAAGGATAAAAATAATATACTGATATACAAAATATCATAGTTTTATTTATTGTTTAAAGGATTTTGATATTTTTATTTTTATTTTTGATCTTTGGCTTTTTTCCTCTCAGTTTCTTTCTTTTCTTTTTTTTTAAGTGGTACCAGGGATAGAACTCATGACCTTGTTCTTGCCAGGGAAGCACTTACTTCAGAGTTATCTCCCAGCCCCTTCCTCTCAGTTTCTGAGCCCAGCTCCTTCAAAATTACATTAATCCCCATAAACATGTGATCCCTGGTAGATCTTACTAAAGCTGTCATTCTAAAATACATGAGAAATAAAGTTCCTTTAATATAGAAATACAGACATAAGACAAAAGCCTAATCTCCCAAGGGAGCAGGGAGCAATAGACAGAGCCCAGGGAGAGCTGCTGTCTGTCACTTGTAAATCCTGGAAAGCTGGGATTCAAGGCTGCAGATAACAGTCAGAGGGGTGTACCTGCTAGGTCTTGAGTGCTGGCTTCATTCTCGTGCTGCACTTGCGGAGTACTAGCTGGTGTACACTGCACAGAAAGTAAAATGGGAGGGTGAAGAGTGACAAATCTTAGTTTTGAAGTTTCCTAACAATCATATATAGTAAAAACTCAGCAATTTACCTTAAACACTTAAATTTCTCAATTTCTCAGATGTTGTCCATAACTTTGGCCTTTTTAAAATCTTATTTTGAGACAGGGTCTCACTAAATTGCCCAAGTTGGGCTCTAACTTTGTGCCTCAGCCTACTGAGTACCTGGGTGTGCACCACTGTGCACAGTGAGATGATTTCTGAAGTACAGACCTAAATCCTTCAATACGCTCTCTCTACTCCCATCCCACTTGCCCTACACAGGAAGAAGACATCTCAATGGAGCAAGCTGTCTCCTTACCTTTACCTCCATGATAGTTCCCACCAGTCTAACTTCATAAAACTAACAGGTAGGCACGGTGGTACAAGCCTGCAATTCCAACTCTGGGGACTTGGGGTATGGGAAGTTTATCAAGTTAGCAAGACTCTACTTCAAAAGAAAAAGTGGAGGAGGAGACACTAGGGATGTAGCTCAGTGTCAAGGCCCTAAACTCAATCCCTAATGCCACAATAAAATAAAACTCAAGTACACTTTCCCCATAAAGCAACCCTGAAGGTAATTCTCTAATGCTCATAATCTTAATTTTGTAACCAAAAAATGTGGATAACAGCTTCAAAGAAGACTCATCAATGGACACCAGAACAACTGGGCAACTAGTTGCTGGGATTCGTTGGACAATCTACTAATACAAAGTGGAAAAGACACCCTTAAAATGCAGCCATCTGGCAGGCACTACTTAAGCCAAATGCTTAGTAACAACATCAATAACAGAACAAATTGACATTGTGAATCTCTTGATGTGTTAGGGGAAAAGAACAGTATCACCTATGTAGTAATCCTGTCCAAAAGCTAAAGGCAATGATGAGAAGTCAATTACCAATTGAGAAAGAGGAGAGAGAGAGAGAGAGAGAGAGAGAGAGAGAGAGAGAGAGAGAGAGAGAGAGAGAGAGAGAGAATAAAAACTTATGTTAAGGAGAGAGAGGGGGAAAAAAAAGCCAATTATGTCCACGCATCTTGCCAGATGCCAAGTCACTCTGGATGATGAAGTCATCCAGATAAAGGGGATTGTGGTAGTGAATGGTGCAAATACCATGGGTCCTGAGATGAGGGGTACCTCTGGTACCCACGAAGATCTTTCTCACTTTGCATAACTTGTACTTGGCTTCCTCAGGTGTACTATGATGAACAGCAAAGTAACCCTTCTGAGTTGTAAATCAGACAGGAGTGTTTCTCCTGTCCTTTCAATGTTGATGAAATCAATAAAGCCACGAGGGTAAGTTACACCAGTTGGGCCTCTACCATTGATCTTAATAAAGCTATATTAGTTGGTGGAGCCACATTCTGTATTGCTGCATGGACCTACACAGCAACACAGAGTGGAATAGAATGGAACCTGTCCCCTGTTGGCAGAGTCACCCCCAAGGGATGGAGAGATCAGTAATCATGCCAGCTGATATGATACAGCTAAATTATTTCTAAATGAAATCATGGGGCCGGGGAGATGGCTCAGTGGAATAAGCGCTTCCCTGGCAAGCACAAGAGCCTGAGTTCAATCCCCGGTTCCGCAAAAAAAAAAAAGGCAATCTAAATGAAATCATAATTAATGCCAAGTAAGAGCTATGTATCTATTAAAATATAGCCTACTGAACAAATAAAGTACAATTGAAACCTTTTTAAAAAAAGAAATGCAAGACAAGGAGTAGTTAACATCACAAAAATACCTATTCTGAGTACAAAATGGATTTTCTGTATATAGAACAATTCCTTAGAGCCAGGCTGGTGTAGCTTGCCTAATATACATAAAGTTCTGGGTTAGATCCCCAGCACCAAAAACTAAAAGTAAAAACAAATGAATGTACATGTATGTATATTTCCACACACAAGATGGGATAAAGATTAGCATATGAAAATTATATTTTCATGCTTTGTTTTAATGGGAAGACACATCTGCCACCCCTTTGACAGTCCACAGTCTTTTACCTCTGGCACACAAAGTGGCCCACTGTCTCCTTTAGTGTCTTCTCTCAGGGGTTCTTCAACAGAATTCTCACCGAGACCCCCGCTGGAAACAAATGTGGGGGGCCCTGCCTCAGAGGAGAGAACAGGAGCACCTGGCAATGTCTGAACCTCTTGAGAACTCTCTTCTTGATCTTCACTTCTAAAAGAGAGTTTAGTGTTAGGATATTGTGTGAGATCAGGCTAACAACTGTGGAAGTACATTAGTGCTGTGTCAGAGATCACCTAATTTAATGGTTTTGAGCTTGTAAAGCATATTTAATTCAATCAAACTTTTCCAATCAAATTCTTACAGCCAAAGCCTATAGCTACAGCTGAGTCCCAGAATCTTTCTTCCCTCTTTTACCTTTTGGTTGGGTTTGCTTCTTGTGAAATACTGGTCCCTTTGATATCCTGCACACATGCCAACTGGTCCTGCTCCTGACTCTCTGCTGTCGTGCCTGGCCCAAGGTTTCTATCCTCCACTTCTGTTGCTATGGAAGCACTGTCCTCAGTTTCTTAAATAAAAAACATACTTACGATGTAGTTCATAATAATACCACTACAATCTCCATGTTAGAAACACATCCTCCCTTACAACAAAGGCAGCAATGCAGTAACTCCTTCACGCTTCCCTAAATCCAAAGCCCAGTGTATTAAGGGCAGCTTTGGACACAAATGTTTCAACAGTGAAAGGATGATTAACAAACCATGAACACAACATATTTCAGTAATGGCTGCTATAGCAACCATACCCCTACTTTGTGGTAATAGTAGTACAATTAAAATTTCATATCCACAAGCAAATTAGAGGTGAGTACACAAAAGTTTTGGGAAAGGAACTATGAAGCAAATACTATCACAAAGGAGAAGGAAAAAACCTTTCTATAAATAAGCTGCACCTGCAAACTAAGAGCTTCAAGACACTGCTTAAAGCAGCACAATAATCAACACACTGCACCTGCACACAGTACCACAGGCACTGCTGGCTGAAAAAGAATCCTAGACACCAGGACAGGCAAATCAGGCAAGATGATGCTCACTATGCTGACCTAAGATGTGTCCAATTCATCCTGCAGCACGCGCTGTCTGCACAGTTTTCCCTGTCCTACTATCACCACAGGGGTGAGGCCCTCAGCAGGAAGGTGGGGTGGAAAAGAAAGCAGGATTAAGAACTATGTCACTACACATCAAGACCATCAGAAAGTGACAGCAAGGGCTGGGGAGATAGTTCAGTAGAATAAGCGCCTGCCTGGCAAGTGCAAGGTCCTGAGTTCAATCCCTGGTACCACAAAAATAAAACAGAAAGTGACAGCAAGCACTAATGAGAAGGTGCAGGTTTGGGATGAGGTGCCTAGGTAGAGCACTTGCTTTGCATGACTGACCCCCTGGATTCAAAACACAACACGGCAAGATAAAAACATAAAACAAACAACATGAATGGCTGGGTATGGTGGCTCATGCCCATAATCCTAGCACTTGGGAGGCTGAAGAGGTGGAGGGTCGCTACAAAAACGAGGCCAGCAAGGGCTCCAAAGTGAATTCAAGGATTAAAGGCCAGAATGATATGCACAGTGAGACCCTGTCTCAAAAAGATCAAAAAAGGAAAAAAAGAAAAGAAAAAAACTGATGAGTAGCTGAAGTATTAAAATATGGTCTTTTCTGGTGCTGAGGATTAAACCCAGGCCTTGAAATAGATCCCTAACTAGAAAACATTAATCTCAAAAATAAAAATACAAACGAATTAAAACAAAACAAAAAGGATTTCAAGAGATTTTTCTAAGGATACATACATGACCACATGACAAGACACACATTGCTTTAACCCTTAGAATACAAATCAAAATCACAGTGACCTGGTCTCAGTGATACACACCTATAATACCTACTGCTCGGGAGGCTGAGGTAGGAAGATGAGAATTTGGAGGCCAGCCCGACCAATTTAGTGAGATCCTGTCTCAAAATAAAAAGTAAACAAAAAGAGGGCAGGAAAAAAACAAAAACAGAGGGCAGGAACCTGGGATGTAGCTCAATGGTAAGGTACCCTTGAGTGTGACCTGCAGCACCACAGATACAAGCAATGAAACAAAAAGTTCTAACACAATGAAACTCATCCTCACACCAAGATGGCCCTAATCAAAAAGAACAACAACCCAAAAAAAGTGTCTGAAAAGAAAACAGAGAAACTAAAACTCAAGAAGACTGATGCTGAAAACATAAAAAATAGAGCCAGCATTTTTTTATAATTTGTGGTGCTGGGGACTGGGACTTGGGGCACTTACCACTGGCTACCTTGTCTCTTCTTTCTCTCTCTCTTACTACTTTCTTCTCTCCTCCTACTCCTTGCAGGAGAGTATTGCTAGATTTCCAGGTAAGACCTGACTTGTGATCCTTCTGTCTAACCATTTCTTTTTAATGTAATGGTTTAATGAAAACAAAAAACCTGAACACAGGGGCTGGTGAGATGGCTCAGTGGTCTAAAGCACCTACTTAGAACAAGCTAAGCTAAACAAAGCACAGGGACCACGGTTCAATCCCCCAGCACCACATGCCAGCCAGCCCCGCCCCCTGGTGGGCTGAGCTGGCCACACACACACAAAATAAATAATAAATAAATATTTAAAAAAAAAAAAAAAAAAACCCTGACCAGATTTAAAACAGTTTGATAGCTCCTCAACAGGATAAACAACGTACCTCTGAGCCAGAGCATTTAGCCTGCCAGAGGCCCTGGGTTGGAAGTGAAATGCTCCCACAAATAAGGTTAAAAAGAATTACAAAGGGCCTTGAACTACATCCTGTAGGTATAAGCTCTAAAGAAATGAAAATATATAGCACACAAAAATGTATACATATTATGTGTGTGTGTGCGCGTACGCGCAAGGCAGGCATATACACGTGCATGCTCCCCTATGTGTATTGGATATTGAATCCAAGACCTTTCACTGAGCTATACATTCAACCCTTTTTTATTTTTTACTTTGGGACAAACTCTCACCCAGTCATTGAGTTGCCGAGGATGGGCTTGAAGTCTTCTAGCCACAGTGGCCCAGATCACAGGTGTGTGTTATGCCTGGCTAACATAAATGCATATCTTCAACCGTGTGCAACATGTTTTGAACTACATGGTAGTACCTCGGCACTTGTTTTTTGCGACAGGGTCTCACTATGTAGCCGAGCTGTTTTTCGACTTTCTATGGAGCAAAGACTGGCCTTGCATTTGCAGCAATTCTCCTGTCTCAGCCTCTTAAATATGGACTTACCACAGCTATGCACTTATTAATTGGTGCTGGGAGGCATGATGAGCATCAAAAACAACAAATACCAAACAAGTTGTGTTGGCTGGAAAGGTTAGAACACCCAAGGCAATGGACACCAACAGGTTCCTGCTTGTGTAGCAAGTGCCCAACAAGCACTAAGTGCCAAGGCGAAGCATCAGACTAATGCATCAATGCCATGATCTGCAAAGCAGTGCCCAAAGTGTGAGTGTATATATACTGTGGAATAGTTGCATCTAGTTAAATTAACAATTGTGTTAACTCAAGAGTTAGCATTTTTGTGGTAAGCGCACATAATTTCTGTTCTCTATACATTTTAAGAATACTATACAATGTATCATCATGAACTATGGTCACCATGCTGTTCAATTATGAAACTAATACTAAACCATATGTACACTAGAGTATATGTATTCTAAAGGAAATGCACGTGAATAAATACACGTGTTTGTATAAATGTAGGTGTATGTGTGGTAAATGTACTTATTCACCCTCGTTTAGATGCATGCATATATGTTTTGGGAAATACACAATAAATACTGAAAGGGCATGGAGATAGAAATAAATGCAAAGATCCTAAACTTAATCCTCAGTATTAAAAACAAACAAAACAGACCATTAATAGCAGTTTGTTAACTCAGTGAGATGAGGGGGCTATGAACTAAGGAAAGCGAGCTTAGTCTATAAATTCCATCCCTTTTGGGCACTAACCTACTGTCTCCACCAAGTGCTGCTACACCTTTCCAAACATATGTTTGAGTATCAAGTATATACATACAACAACATGTACATATAAAAATATAGCAAATACAGCAGACATACCAATTAATGAAATTACAGTTGGATTTCTAAATACTCATTTAACTTTTTGTGTATCTAAAATTTTCTATAGTAATTAAAAATAATTTTAACAACTAAATGTTCCCTTGAAATGCAAATACAATGCCTTGTGCCAAAGTAATTTTGTAACTTCTAAAAGAACAACTAAGTTTACCTTTTTGACTTTCCACTTCTTCCCCTTCAGATATACTAGTAATTTTCTGATGAGCATCAACCCTGTTGAACATTAACACTTCCAGATCCAGCTCAGGCCTGGCTAATGTGCTTCTCATTTGTAAATTACCATCCACTTTAGAACCCGTACTTCTAGAAGTGAAGAAATAACAGAAGTTTAGCAATGAGAAAGAATTCTCTTAACGTTGATGCATTCCACCTAGCCTTGGGCTACCAAGTAAGGGCCACACTGTGAATGCTCATTTCTTTGCTACTGAGCTACACTCCTGGCCCCAAAGAGTTTTTTGTTTTATTTTTATTTTTTCTCAGTACTGGGGGTTGAACTCAGAGCCACTGCACTGAGCTAAATAGCCAGTATTTGACTTTTTATTTTGAGACAGGGACTCACTAAACCACTAAATTGCCTAAACTGGGTCCAGATTTGGGATTTTCCTGCCTTAACTTCCCAGCATGCTGGGATTACAGGCAGGTACCACTATACCCAGCTAAATATTTCTTCCTTCCTTCCTTTTGTTTTTGTTTTTGTGCTAGGGATTAAACTCCGGACCTTGCACTTGCCAAGCAGATGTTTATGCTGCTGAGCTATCTCCCCAGCTCAAGTATTTATTTTTTCAAATATTTATTTCTTACTGCTAAAATAACCAATAACGTTACCACACATCTAGAGAAGATCACATTTTTGAAACAGTAATCTTCATAAATCTATTTCATTAAAGCTTCAAAGACATACAAAACATTGTACAATGATACCTCTGTTCACAAACTCAGTTCTCTCCACAATTCTGGTCCTAAACTAAACTGGACAAGAACAAAATCAAATTTCCCCATAAGGTCAACATTGAACTTAAGCACTGAATTTCATTCAGTTATAACCCAACTCAGTTTCTAACCGGAACTATGGAAGAATCAAGTTCATGAACCAAGGTGCCATTGTAGAATTTTGATATGAAAACCATTAACTCATTATAATCTACATCAGGCCTTAATGTTTAAGAAATTAGCTTTGCCTAATTTAAATTTACATTAAAAATACTCAAAGCCACACACTAAAGAGATGAGTCCTAAATACATTTACTAATTGAATACTAAAATAAACCTCGTTAAAAAATAAAATTAGGGTTGGTGGGATGGCTCAGTGGTCTGGAGCACCTATTTAGAACAGGCTTGGCGAAGCACACGGACCGCGATTCGATCTCCCAGCACCACATGCCAGCCAGCCCCGCCCCCTGGTGGGCTGGGTTGGCCACACACACACACACACACACACACACACACACAAATAAATAAATAAATAAAATTTTAAATAAATAAATAAAAATTAAAAAATTAAATTAAATAAACCTGGGTAATGTATTCTCCATTACTTCTTCCTTTAAATTAACTTCTTCTCTAGTCTGTTCCTCTGACACACTCTTGTTTTCTTCAGATGCAGAAGATGTATTAATGACAGATGAAGAAAGCTGACATTCATGAAGAATGTTGTGACTTACATTATCTGGGCTGAAAGGAATATGACTTTTATCCTTTGAATGAACATCAGGAAATACACACACTCCTACTGCAGAAAAAAATAGGAAATTAAAATTGAGGCAATATGAACAGAAATTCAAATAAAATTTATTGTTTAACATTCAACAGCTGTATTATTATTATTATTATTATTATTGGTACCAAGGATGGAACTCAACATTTTATGTTATTAAAGTTTATACTTGGGCCAGGGAGATAAGTGCCTACTTGGGTCGGAAGCATAAGCACCTGCCTGGCAAGCATAAAGTCCCAAGTTCAGTCCCTGGTATGGACTACCTAGGGAGATGCTATCTCAAAAGTTTGTTCTTTTTATGGTTGCAAAGTTAAATACTGATTATATGAGTATATGAACTCATATTTCTTGTCTTAAATTTGGATAGAAGTAAGATCCTTAAAATTGAAACTTCATCCTAATGCAAATAAAAATGAAGCTGGGCAGTGGCACATGCCTCATAATGACAGCACTCAGGGAAACCAAGCAAGTTCGAGTCTAGTCTGAGCAACTTAGCAAGACCCTATTGCAAAATAAAAAACAAAAATAAAAAAGGCTTGAGGTATAGATCAGGGCAAAAGCTCTGGGTTTCTTTCCCCATACAAAAAGGAGAAAAAGTGAAAATGAGTTCCTTTGTTACTTGCAGAAACTAACTATGTAAACTCAAGCTAGGACTGGCCTCAGTTACTAACTTTTAAAACCTGGTATGTCTTCTAGAGGTATATGATGGGCTTTGGCTGACACTCAGCCACTGAGAATGTAGCCACTGCATGAAACAAATCAGAGACCTGCCTGACATGCATTAGCACCAGTAAAAAGTCTAAGAAAGAGGGCTGGGGATGTGGTTGGGGTGGGCAGGGCACTTGTCTAGCATACTTGAGAAGGTCCTGGGTTCAACCCCTAGCATGGGACCAAAAAAAAAAAAAAAAAAGCCTAACAACTAAAATTATGATAATGAAATGACAGGTCAGTTATACCTGTCAATTATACATGTAGTGTAATTATCCAATTTATATAGTTAAGATAACAATAAGGAACACAGCTTTTTTTTTTGGCGGAACCGGGGATTGAACTCATGTCCTTGCACTTGCCAGCCAAGCGCTTATTCTACTGAGCCATCTCCCCAGCCCCAAGACCACAATTTCTAACTTCACCCAAATATACTAAAAATTTAGACTGTAATATCTTTTTGGCTCTGTCCAAACTACCAGAACAGACACCCTTCCTTAAAAATACAAAAAAAAAAAAAAAAAAAAAAAACACCTACCAGAACAGCATACTTATTCAACAGCCCCTACTACCGCATCATAGATTATCTGTCATCTAATTTGAAGACTATTTTGAGCAGCAGCAACTCCTTTGTTAAGGAAACTAAGTGATCAGTGAGCTCAATTAACCACTGACGTTTGTGATAAGGTAGAAAATTCACTAGATCAACTAGTCTATGAATATACACTTTTTTTTTTTTTTTTTTTTTTTTTTGTATTTTAGGGAAGAGCCTACAGGGTGTTCAGGGTCTCACTACTAGATCGGACTCATAGTGATCTGCCTGATTACAGCCTCCCAAGAGCTGGGATTACAGGCGTGTGCCACCATGCCCAGTCTCAACTACTACCTCAGCTCCCTCCCGGGGGCAAGGCCGGTATGGCAGGCCTGGGTATTAAACCCCACCCCTGAGCCTGCTTGCAGGTGCTTTAATCCACTGAGTTATTTGGCTGGTCCTAATATACACTATTAATAAACCCTGTTCACTATCTCAAAATCATTGTCACTATATCTAACAGGGCTAAAATAGTCATGCACAAATATTACCTCTTCTAGAAAAACAACAATGATAATTTCAAATATAAAAGGCTTATGACTCGAAGCATGGGCATGACTTCTTAGCAGTTACATTCACTTTGACGGCCTTGTCTTCCATTCTTACCATCACCCTGTTCTGTGCTCATCTCTGACTGCAATACCAGGTCTCCCATGGTAAGTAAGGTTATGGCTGCTTCTGTGCTTAAGTCACTGGGACCTGGTGAAGAAACACAGCAGTAATTGAAACAGATGAAGGGGTGTGAAAATAAGTTTACTTAAAACAGACTCTAGGGGCCAGGAAGATGGCTCAGTGGAATAAGTGCTTCCCTGGCAAGCATTAGGGTGTGAGTTCAATCCCTGGTTCCACAAAAAAAAAAAAAAAAAAAAAAAAAAAAAACAGACTCTGGATAGCTGGGGGCAGAAAACAAAGCAATACATACTCTGAACTCAGGTGTTTTCCTTCTAGTAATGGTTGCACCAGTCTCGGTATACTATTTCCTTATTAAAGTGGTATTTTGTTCAGCTTATATATTACCAATTAAAAAATATCAATTCTTAGCTTTTATTTGTTGAAAACACTGTTAGGAAATGCTTAAAACTTGCTTCTTAATTATATGCTTAACTCAGTTCACCTTCACATCAAGTGCTATGGTTTGATCTAAAATGGCCCCCAAAGGGCTAGGTTTACAGCTGGAGCTTCTGGAAGGTGACTGGATCATGGGGTGCTGTACTCACTGATGGATTCACCCACTGATGAGCTCAAAGCTGAGTGTTGGTAGGTGGTGTCCTGGTCGGAGGAACAGGATCTGAAAGGGTGTGTTCTGTCCCAGCTCCCCCACCCCTACTCCCCAGCGCTCTGCTGTCCTCTGACAGGGCCCTCCACCATGACCATGCCTTGGAGCCAGCCCATTCTAGGCTAAAGTCCTGTCCCTAATAAATTCTTCCTCCTGTCACACATGTCAGACCTTTTGTCCCAGCAATGGGAACGTGTCTAATATACAAGGTTTAACACAGAGATAATTTACTCGACAGCTGAATCTTTTTATCCAACACTCTAGCAAACCAATTCATGTCCAAAGAGCACTGTGCTAGTGCTCATCAAGCAGTTCTAACAGTATCCCTGTAAAAAGTTACCTGCTCCATCCTGGGTCTGTTCACCCATGGTCATTGCCTAAAAGAGGAAAAGATAAGTAAATATTTAAATATTTTTCCTAAATATTTAAATATTTTTCCTAAACACAGAATCCTTTCCTCAAAAAGCAATACATTTTACAAGACTTTACACACACTTTAATTAGCAATAATAAAGCCTTTTTGTTAATATGTAACTATTATAAAATTTCAGAAACAAGCACAAAAGTAACTTCTTGTCTCTTGCTCTTTTTTTATGTACAAATTATAACTCTAATCATATGCTACATGCATTTAACTGTTGACTTCTCCACATTCATAATCAGTCTGTCTAGTCAAACCTGCTGCCAGTTTTTATCCAATGAAAACAAGTTCAAAAAGCATCAGAATTTTTTTATACTACTATGTGGTTTTAAACTGAAATTATTTTTAGTAAACTGATGTGGGGTAATGATTAATTTATCTACAGAGTTGATAAAACAAAACTTATTAACCTGTATAGTATGCACTGAAAAAAGGGGACAGGGGATATGAAGAACAAAAATAGCAAAACACAAAACCCCAAATCATAGCCTTCCCCAGTGAATATACACTGAATGCTTTGTATTTGTCCTCCACTGTGGAAACACTGGAATTGAACTCAGCACCTTTGCACTGAGCTATAGGCCCAGCTCTTTTGTATTCAGAAATAGGGTTCTGCTAAATTGTTAAACTGCTCAGACTGGGCTCAAGCTTTTAATCTCCCTGTTTTAGCCTCCCCAGAGTACTAGGATTACAGATATGTGCCACCACACTATCTTAGACTACAATTTTTTTAATGCAATTTTAAAATTATGGATTTTCTTATCTCTTTTACATCTATCTTTATTTCTTTCTCCCATCCCAAAATACTGAATTGAGGGCTGGCCAAATAGCTCAGCAGATTAAAGAGCCTGCAAGCAGGAGTCAGGGTTGAGGGTTCGATCCCCAGGCCTGCTGTGCTGGCCCTGCCCCAGGGGCGGGCTGAGACAGCAATTGAGACTGGGCATGGTACATGTAACCCCAACTCTTGGGAGGCTGTAAACAGGCAGATCACTACAAATTCAATCTAGTAGTGAGACCCTGAACATCCTGTAGATGACCCTTCCCTAAAATACAAAAAACAAAACAAACAAATATATAACAATCAATTATATTTCTATGCACTTGCAAAAGAAATTCAAAAATGAAATTAAGAAAACAACCCCTTCCAGGTCTGGGGCACGCATCTGTAATTCCAGCACTGTGAGGGCTTGAGGAAGATCAAAAGCGAGGGAAACTAAGCAACTTAGCAAGAATGTGTCTCAAAATGTAAAACAATGTTAACATGAGCTGAGGATGTGGATCACTGCAAAGGCCTTGGGTTTCATGCTCAATACTAAAGAGGTGGTAAAAATGAGTGCTTTTGTTACTTGCAGAAACTAATAATTCTTGGGGCTGGGGAGACAGCTCAGTGGAATAAACACTTCCCTGGCAAGCGCAAGGGTCTGAGTTCAACCCCCGGTTCCGCCAAAAAAATTAAAAAAAAATAAATTAAAAAAAAAACTAATAATTCTAAATGAATGCCTCCATTTATAAATTTTGAAAACTTATACTTTATGTTCCAGTTCTCTCCAATGTTCTGGCACTGAGAAGTCCTAGAAATCAGAGCCTTTCCTGATTATGAGTCTCAACATTAATTAACAGGAAGTTGCAATGCCCTCCAAACCTATCTACAGAGGCAATGCAGTCACAGAATTCCTGCTGATTTCTTCAGAGACACTGACTGACAAGTGGACTTTAAAATTCATACTGAGCTGGGGATATAGCTTAACAGCACAACACCTACCTGGCCAAGTGTGAGATCATGAGTTCAATTCCCCGGGGCCAATAATAATACTGATGGTGGGGTTGGGGAGATAGCTCAGTAGAATAGGTACATACATGCCTGGCAAGCACAAGGGCCTGAGCTCAATCCCTGGCTCCATAAAAATAATAATACTGATGATGATAATGATGATGATGATGATGATGATGATGATGATATGATGATAATGTAAAAATTACATGAATGTGGTCTAGCCCAAAATATTTTTTAAATGATAAAAATAAAATTCATACCAAATTAAAATGACCTATGTGGAATTGGGGCTGTTGCTCAGTGACAGAGCTTTTGCCTTGCATGCACAAGGCCCTGGGTTTGATCCCCAGCAACACACACGTGCGCGCGCACACACACACAACCTATGTTAGCCAAAATAATCCAGACAAACAAGGAAGTATCACATAATCACATTTTCCAATCCTAAAACTTACAATACAACAATAACCAATACATCATCACCAGTATAAAGGAAGACATAAAGATCAATAAAACAAAATAATTCAGAAATTAATCCATACATCTGTGGTCAACTATTTTTGAAGAGTGCCAATACTATTTAATAGCATCTTTTCAAATAAAGTTAAGCAGGGCATCATGCTGTATGCCTGTAATTTCAGTACTCACTGAGACTGAGGCAAACAGAATCAAAAGCTTGAGTCCGGCTCAGGCAATGAGCAAAACCCTGCCTCAGAAACTAAAAGGGCTGTAGCTATAGATCATTTGGAAAGCCTTAGATTCAATCCTAATACTACCAAAACAAAGTTAGATAAACAGGCTATCTGAGCACATAAAAAGCTAATTCAAACTAGGACTGGTAGTGCACACCTATAATCCCAGCACTAGGGAAGCTGAGGCAGGAGGATCACTGTGAGTTCAAGACTAGCCTGGGCTACAAAGTAAACTCAAGACCAGGCTGAAATACATAGTGAGACTCTGTCTCCAAAACACAAAAACTAAAGCTTCCAAGTAGATGAAAGAAATATAAAATTCTTAAAAGAAAAGTGAGACTAATACTTTACAGCCCTGAAGTTAACAAAAGAGTTTTACATAATACCAAAAACAATGCTGGACGTAATGGTGCATGCCTATAGTCCCACACAATAGGCCCAGGCAAGAGGTTTGCCCTACATTTGAAGATAGCCTGAGCTATATATAGTGAGGTCAAGGCCAGCCTGAACTTCACAGCAAGACCATCTCCAAAAAAAGAAAAAAAAAAAAAAAAGGAAGAGCAACTAGAAAACAACTGAATAAAATGACCATTATCAAAATTAACAATGTTTGTGATTTAAAAGGAGCCATCAAGAACACAAAAAGATAACCCAAAGAATAAGAGAAAATACAGTATCTGTAAATCATATACTTGATAAGCGACTTGAATTTAGACTATGTAAAGAATTCTTACAACTCAATAAAATTGACACAAATGGCCCAACTAAAACATAAACAAAATATGGAATGGATACTTCTCCAAAAATCATGATCAATAAGCATGTGAAAGAATTCAGCATCATTTGTCATCAGGAAAACACAAATCAAAATCATAATAAGACATGCCTTCACCCCAAATAGAACAGACAGCTAGATCCATAGTATCACATAGCAAATACTGGCAAAGACACAGACACAGGGAGCCTCACACACTGTTGGGAATGTAAAATGGTCAAGCTGCTCTGGAAAACAGTTGGGCAGTTTCTCAAATCATTGAATATAGAGCTATCATATAACTAGCAATTGCACTCTTAGGAATGTATACAAGAGAAATAAAAACTCGTGTTCTCACAAACAGTTGTACATGAGGATTTAGAACAGACAAAAGATGGAAAACAACCTAATGTCCACGAATACATGAATGAAAAGAATGTAGTAAATTATTTGGCTCGAAAAGTAATTAAGTACTAAATGCTAAAATACAGAAAAACACTGAAGCTATTAAGAAGCAGACAGAAAACACCGTATTTATTATTCCATTTCACTGAAATGTCCAATAAAAGCAATCTACAAAAGTAGGTAACTGGTTTCCTAGGCCTGTGGACTGAACTAAACTACATCTCCAGACCTTTTCATTTATTTTTTTAATTTGGAGAAAGGGTCTTGCTAAATTGCCCAGGATGATGCTAGGGAGATAGCTCAGAGGTCTAAGTGCCTGCCTGGCAAGCACAAGGACCTGGGTTCAATACCCAGTAGCATATGCCATGCTGGCTCCAAGCCATACTGGCCACCCAAACCAAGTATGATGATGCATGCCTGTAACCCATCCCAGCACTAGGGAGGCTGAGACAGGAGGATCAATGAGTTCGAGCTACATAGCAAGACACTGTACCAAATAAATAAATAAATACATAGTTGAAGTGCCCAGGATGGACTCAAACTTGTTATCTGCATGTCTCAGCTGCCTAAGCAGCTGGCACTACAGGTCTATGACCATGCCAGGCAGGAATTTCTTTTTCTTTTTTCTTTTTCTTTTTTTTTTTTTTTTTTTTTTTGCGGAACCAGGGATTGAACTCAGGCCCTTGTGCTTGCCAGGGAAGTGCTTGTTCTACTGAGCCCTCTCCCGGGCCCCAGGAATTTCTTTTTAAGGCAAAGACTGTTCTACAACTGACTGGTGATGCTTGATATATACATTTCACTTTTACACTTTACATGAATAGATTACATTGTGTCTAAAGTGGATTTCAATAGAGATATTTGTAAATACCTTTCAATTCTATGTCTTCATAACAAGTATGAGGGGCTGGAGAGATGGCTCAGTGGTCTAAAGCACCTACTTAGAACAAGCTTGGCAAGGCATCAGGG